TCCGCTGTTGTTTCGCCGGGTCTCTGCCTTTTTCTTTATCGACAGTGAAACAAACGAAACTATTCCACTCCATTTCCGAAATGTTTTTCACTTTTATAGCGAGAAAAACTCTTTGAGTAGAACTTTTCTCGTTGAATGTGTACGAAGCGACGCTGCAAGCTGCAATAAAAAGGCGGGAATTTTGGCGCGAAACTCACACACCTTTGTGGCTTCTGATTGGACGTATCATTTTTCTCACACGTGAAAAAACATCGTTCGCGATTCTGATTGGACGTATCATTTTTTTCACGTGTGAAAACCAACGTTCGCTCCTCTGATTGGCTAGAACTAATTTGCGTACGAAAATTTACGACATAGCTTTTTGGTGAGTATTTCTCAGTATGTATATAATAATACAGTTTCTATTACGCACCGAAACATCTACCAGCCCTAATGATAGTGTGTTTGAAAGGTAAACATATATCTAATGAATCCCAAGGAGCCAGACACTTCTTCAAATACCATAAAAACACTCGCCAAAGAGGCAGGATGCGTAGACTCTAGACAAACAATTACACCATAATATTTCTTGTTTGGGATAACGTTCACTCAACCTTTTCCCCTTTCACAAAAAAACCCTAAATGATCAGTACCCGGGGCCCCATCGGTCATTTGGTCTAATTTTAGAAGTTTTTCTTTATTTTTCGTTACCAGTGTTTCCACGATTGTTGATCGAATGATATTAAGATTTTGTTTGACGCAAACGTCATCTTATAACTTCTCAACCGATGACGATCTGCACACACCGTTGCACATTTTACCTGTGCAGATGTCTGTAATCTATACTTGAGCTAAAGAAATTGATACGATCCATAGAAACATCGGCAGACATTTAAGGTGGCTCGACTGGATTTTTTGAAGGGGGATACCTCCCAAGTTTGAGCATTAACTACGTCGCCATGAGTAACGATATGGGAAAAAAATTACCACAGCTGTATTATATAAAGATGAAAATTTCTTATGATCTGGGTTTTATTGCAATCGGAGTCACCATGGCAACGTAACAACGCCATTACGTTTTTTTATTTATTTTTGTTCTTCTCTGTACCGGGAGTTTTTTTAAGAAATCGGTTGAGGGAGTAAGTACCTGCCATAATTGCCTCAAGAGCGTTTTCGAAATATTTTGAAACGAAGTTTTAAGCATCATAAAAACAGTGAAATAGCATGCTATCCACACAATTAGCTAATTTTTTAAAAAGATGATAAGCTTTGGAAACGCGGCTTCATCTCATAGTGGTTTGATTCCATTGAAAACTGTGTACAAGAAAAGAGGGGAATTGCTCTGGGCGATCGCGAGTAAAAAGAATTTTATTAACTTGCATTCCGCTGCTTTTGTTACAGTTTTTGCACGTAATTTGGTCCAGGCCTACAATTTTCGCATTTTTCAAGTTACTAAAATTCTTCTTACTCGCGATCGCTCGGAGCAATTCTCCTCTTTTTTTGTACGCAGTTTTCAATGGAATCAAACCACTATGAGATGAAGCCGCGTTTCCCAAGCTTATCATTTTCTTAAAAATTTAGCTAATTGTGTGGATAGCATGCTATTTTACTGTTTTTATGATGCTTAAAACTTCGTTTCAAAATATCTCAAAAACGCTCTCATAGAATTTGTGCAAACTTTGCCATAATTGAGGCAATTATGGCAGGAACAAACTCCCTCAATCGATTTTTTAAAAAAACTCTTCGTACAGGGAAACACAAAGATAAATAAAAACGTAACGGCGTCGTTACTTTGCTATGGCGACTCCGATTGCAATAAAACCCAGATCATAAGAAATTTCATCTTTATATAATACAGTTGTGGTAATCTTTTTCCCATATCTTTACTCATGGCGACGTAGTTAATGCTCAAACTTGGGAGGTATCACCCCCCCAAAAAAATCCAGTCGAGCCACCTTAAAGCAGTTTATCTCATTGGTTCGAAGAAAAATAATAATAATAATCAGCCTCAAAAAAGGCATGCACAAATGAGACTATCATTTTTGGAACTGCAAAAATAATCAACCTTAAAGGAAAGGAACTCATTATCTCTGTTATTATCCTCCAAGTACCTGAAAGAGCTTACATGAAAGCAGTAGGTTGAGTTAACCTTTAAAAGGTGTTTCGATATAGTTTTTCAGAGACCATACCGATATTTTTCAATCCCTTTAAAAGTAATTTTATCCTTGTCTGATCGCTATAAAATTTTCACCAATGATTGACTGTAGATTGAAATTTATCAAAATGAAGATTTTAGTAAAATCGATATTACTATGACAACAATAAACAAAAAACTTTGAAACTGATAAATGCCTAATTTTGCGCGATCTAGACCAGTTACTGAAAATCCAACATTAAGATTGATTCACTGCAACACCTTGAAATTTCAAACCAAACCTATCCTACGAACCTGTCAAAAATCCGCGCTACAACATTCACTGTTTATGGTAATTTGTCCAAATTAATGCGGGCTATACATATATCCATGACTGGTACATTTCAGTGTGAGTATTGTCAATGTTTTTCAATCAAAAGATGCGATAAATTATGTATAGTGCGCATTATTTGGAAAAATTAGCATAACGTCAAAAAAAGTGAATGTTGTAACGCAGAGTTTTGACAGGTTCGTAAGATAGGTTTGTCTTTAAATTTCAAGGTGTTGCAGTTAATCAATCTCAATGAAAGTTTCAGACATTATTTCATTACATTATGAAGATTAAAAAAAATTCTTTCGCGTCGTTTCACAGGTATACAAAAAAGCGCTAAAAGTCCAAATTTTGAGTGAAGTTGCTCTTATACAGGTGGTGAGAAAACGCTTTAGTTTTCAAGATCGCAAGAACGAAAATACACCAAAATTTCCTAGCATCAAAATATGATATTAAGCAGCATTCTGACGCTACGTTAGAATAATTTGAGTCATTTATAACGTTTTTATTAAATAATCTATCACGCCTATTGAAAATTTAAGGTTTGAAATATATTTTCGTTTTAGTCGAATTCAAACATACATAATTTTTTACTTCTTACGGAGATTCTTTGATGAACACCAAACTTTAAGTTCCTAGCTAGTGTTGGATCACACAAAATTCGGCTTTTATCAATATCAAAGTTTTTTGTTTATTATTGTCATAGTAATATTGATTTTACGTAAAACTACATTTTCACAAATTTCAATCCATAGCCAATTACTGGTGAAAATTTTATAGCGATCGGACGAGGAAAAAACCACTTTTAAGGCGATTAAAAAATATCGGTATGGCCTCTGAAAAACTGTATCTAAACACCTTAAGGTAAATCCGTCCGTCAATCGATCAAAAAGACGCTGAAGCAATCTAAAACACCACGATTCTACCAATTCTCACCTACTGCGGATCACTTGGTCTTGGTTGGTCAGACACCCGAAAAAGTCTGATAAAGAATACACGAATTTTTAATATTGTGGGGAACAGTAATCTGAAACTTCCATCAGCAGAGAACACAAAGCGCAAACGCAGTTATGTGTTTTGAAAGACTGAAACATTCTAAGTGTAGAAGAAACAATGGTTTTTCAGTAAAACGGCCTAAAGTCCACCTCGAATTTGGCAAGAGTTTTTACTTTCCAGGAGTCAAACTTTTGAACGGACTCCCAACTGGACTTCCATCCTTACCTTTCAGACTTTCATTTAAGAAAGCTCTAAAAACACATTTTAGTTAATCTCTGAACATTTATAACCATAGTATAGTTATAGTATTTTAGTGTTTTTAATTATCTGAAACTCATGGACTTTTTTTCTCGTATCTTATTTTTATCTTTGAGTTGTTTATTTTACTGACAGGACACCATTGATAACAGTATTTTATACACTGATGGGTTTTCTTAGATCCTGTTAAAATATTCGTTATTATTATTATTATTTGAATTTTAGAGGCTGACAGTTTTTTTTTAATGAAATGAAATGTTTTTAATTGGAATACATTTTTCCTAGTTAAATTAACTCTTTCTAAGCTAAATTAAGTGCTTTTTAAATCGACAGGAATTGTAAATAGTGTTTTGAATGAATAGTTTTTCCTTTTTTCAAGCTAATTAATTGTAAATAGGATTTTAACAGTTAGCATTGTTGTCAATAAATTTTTTCTCTTTTATTAAAAAAAATATTATTATTATTATTATTCTCATTATTATTAATATAAGACAAGAGAGAGGGCTCGAAAAGAGGCAAAACAGTTAACCGAAACAATCGGTATATCAGGCTACTTTACCTATACTTAATTCATAACATCATTGAAAAAGATAACATAATCAAAATCTTTGTTTTCTTCCACCAGAGCAAGCAAATTGTAAAAAAAGCCCTTGATTTAACAAGGAAGTTTCGAGACTGTTTGGTTGTCGAGGACCAAAAGCTTCTTTCCATCACAAGCAGTTATGTATCCATGGTGATTTACAGGCCCAATGAAGACGACAATATTACAATAACTGAAGTGGACAATATTAACTTCACCTTACCGAAATTCGGGCAACTGTTCAGTGAGTTAGCAATAGACAAAGCTGATGTCACAACCAAGGTCTTGTTATTCAAGAGTAATCCTTATGCCTGGCATCCGAGCGAATCCTTAGGTAATGAATCTAAAACATGATTGAAACATCCCAATATACCTAAATCAGACTCTTCAAGAAATACAGAAGAATGTGCAAATAATGTTTCCCTTGGAGATTATAGGGGTTAGAGTTATATGGTCATCAGAATTTTATCAAGAATGCTAAGCTTCGCTGGAAGTAAGGCCTATGCTTCATTCGAATGACCTCACCGAAGCCATTTTAATTAAATTATAATAAAAATAAATAAATAAATAATAATAATAATAATAATAATAATGATAACAATCATGATAAAAATGATAATGAGCCAGTTTCACCTCAAAAGTGTCATTCATGTGCCATAGACCAAAGTCAATACTTACTAATCATGTGAACTTTGTTTTGTTTTGTTTGTGCGCCTTTTCTTTCAGTCCACTCGTGGGTTGTTGATGTAGTCTTGCAGAGAAACAATAAAACAAACTGGAAGATCTCTGGACTAAAAGAGCCACTTCAATTGTTTATTCCCAAGGATTTTAATTGGTCGTCGTCGCTATCCGATGAGACGTCAAGCACCCAGCAATACTTCGTGAAACCAAGTTACGATGTCAATGAAACTATTCTTATAAATTATCATCAGATAAACCTTACGAACGACCATACTGTAGTTTTCGTGAAATTAGGACCCGAAGTATCGACCTACACGCCTTTACGGGTTTACATCAGCGTTTCAGACTTTCCCACGCCGACGAGACATAACTTTTCAACTGTGATACCCGACTGTGAAAAACATGTAGACAAGGAATCTTTGATGGATTGTGTTAAAAATCCTAAAAATTACGTGTTGTCATTTACTTCATCCGAAACTGGTCATACTGGGATTCATTACATTGGCATTCACTATTACGTCAAAAGGGCAAACTACGTTAAGGATCGATTACGGAGATCCTGTGTGACTAATAGTGGAAGGCAGAAACGTTCTTGCGTTGAAGTCAAACAGCCTCCTCCTTCCCCTACTCCCACTCCTTTGGTGCTAAGATCTTCATACAATGCTAGTACTGATTTAAGATACAATTTTTCTGTGAATATCGGAGGCTGTTTATACTGGTCTGAAGATGAAGAGCACTGGACACAAAAAGGATGTAACGTAAGCCTTTAACTTCAAACCGTTATGTTTTATTGTTTTTTGTTCTTACCGTCCGTACGCTTAAGTGAGCCAGTTTGATCACAATCTTAGCAACTTACGTTTAAGCGTGTTTCTTAACCTTCTGGATGACCGATCCGGATTTAAGCTGTAGTAAAGTTTTGAATTGGCGACCGTTTTGAGCCCGATGGAGAGTTATATTGTTGCTTTTTCTATTTTGTTTGGAGAAAGGATAACAAGCGTAGTCAAGGATTACGTCCTCTACCCTCTTCAAAGAAAATGAACGTGGTTTCTACTTACTTTAAATTTCTGTTATTTCTCCAGGTATCGTCCGACGTCGTCAAAGGGTGCATTAATTGCCTTTGCAATCATCTATCTGCGTTTGGTGGAGACTTTTTCGTGCCACCAAACAAGATAGACTTCAAGACGGTGTTTAGTAAGTTCCAGGGCATTGGAAAAGACAACAACTTTAACGTCTTGACAACAGTGTGCACCTTGCTTTCGCTTTATATTATTTGTCTCATCTTTGCCCGTCAAGCTGATAAAAGGGATAAACAGAAGGTAAGTGGGCACGTGTATTGTTAGTATCTATTGTTTCTGCGATAGCTGTCACGTTAGTAATCTACTCAAAGCACTTGGTAAGGACCTGTTGCTTGACTACTTATGTGTTAGTTCCAGGATTCAACATTGTTAGTTTGGCTTTAGTGAGTTTAATTATTATCTAGTAGTTTTATCTTTCATTGCATGTTTTTCAGACCATACCAAATATCTGTCTCCCCGACAACGAGGAGTATGGCGTTTATCATTATCATATTTCAATTGCCACAGGCATGTGGATGGGAAGTGGCACTACAGCCAACGTGGGACTAATAATATATGGGGAGGACTGTTGCAGTGGGAAAATCATTCTGAACGACTTTGGAGCGAAAAAGACCTTTTTTGCTAGGGCAAGTGTTAACACCTTTTCTTTATCGCTGCCCAGAAGCCTGGGTTCCCTGTATAAGCTCAAAGTGTGGCACGACAACACAGGACACAGTCCAGCATGGTTTCTACTAGATGTAGTTATCACGGATTCGGAATCGAAGCAAAAGTGGCATTTTAATGCAAATAGATGGCTTGCAGTTGAAAGAGCTGGTGGAGAAATCGAGTTAACCATTAATGTTTCAAACAAAAAGGATATATCAAGGTTCAAAAATCTCTTCTATCACAGGGTTTCAAAGCAACTGGCGGACGGACATTTGTGGATTTCCATTTTTACCAGGCCACCCCAGAGCTCATTTAGCCGAACGCAACGCATTTCTTGCTGTATGTCAGTGTTCTTTTGTGCTATGATTACAAACGCTATGTTTTATAAACTGGGTGAGAAGGCTGAAGATACATTTGAAATTGGTCCACTAGTAATGAGTTGGACGCAAGTTAAAATTGGGATCCAAAGCGCCATGATAGTGTCACCTGTTAATGTCATTATTGTGGGTATTTTTCGAAACGCCAAACGAAAGAAAGAACAGCTCAGAGACTGCGGTGAACTTTTGAAAGAGAAGTCTTTAAAAGGCCTGCCACATTTTTTTACCTACGTTGCATGGTTTCTATGCATTTCTTCCATTCTTTCTTCAGCATTTTTCATCGTGCTATATAGCCTATCTTGGGGAACGGAAATCTCTAATCAGTGGCTTACGTCTATTCTCGTTTCATTCTTCGAAGACGTGACAGTTTTGCAGCCCATTAAAGTAGTAATCATTGCGTGCTTGTTGTCTGCATTAATAAGAAAACCTAGCAAGCATGACCCAGTTCATGGACAACCTCGCCATAAAAGACCATCCGAGGATGACGCCGCAGTAATACCACCAACGGATAAAGACCTCGAAAAGTCTCGAACATTCTGGGTAAAACTCCGCAAGGTGTTCAGATCTGTTGCAGAGATAATTTTGTTTATTGTGTTTGCTTTTTTGCTGTTTGTTGTTTGCTACGGAAATAGGAATAGCTCAAGGTATTATCTGACCAAATCGCTGAAGGACATATTTCTGCAATTTAACGATGTAAGTCTTTAGATATTGATAAACAACTACACAGACAGACAAAAAATCCTAAGTAAAGAATTCAGTGTTTAGCCAAAAGGGAAACTATCTGGACCCACTTTAAAAGCTAATAGTGCTATTCATCGGATAAAGAATAAAACTTAGGAAAATCAGTTTTGTTAATCCAGTGGATAGCGTTATGCTTCTCTTGAGTAACTGGGCCAGTAAGCCAGTACTTACGTGTGCCTCAGAAGAAGCGTCAAAAAGAAAAAAAAGAATTAACATAACAAAATAGGAAAATAAGCAAAGAGAAAAACTAGAAGGGAAATAAGTGATAAGCGAACAGGAACAGCCTGCTGTTTATCCCCGCTTTCACTACTTTCAGAAAATTTTGCCACACGCGAACACACGTCAAGCCCGTGACTGTCGCCTTTAGAACACTGTCCTTCGAACAAGGGACAAATTTCTTACCACAGTGATAGAAACAATACTGACATCACACAAGAGGATAACGAAATCTGTGTAGAAATTCCTGATGGCAGAACGACCCCTGACGGTTTTTTTTCTCTCTTACTCGACTTGCTTCCCAGTGTTACTTTGTTGAAAATCGCTGATACATGTACATACCGTAGATTTGTTGCCTTTAAGGTGACTCGACCCAGTTTTTTTGGGAAGGTACCATCCTACTTTGAAGCTCTCTAGTATCCCCACCTTTACTTTTATCGTAAGTCTAACACATAGAATGGATAACATATAGATCAATCTACAATATAACATGAAATTTTTGGCGATCGGAGTAAATGTCAGGTGGTTATAATGCCACGCCCCTTTGAGGTCTGAGTCGAAAATCGGCTGTTGCCGGCATTTTTTTGTGAAAATCTCTCGGCTACACGTAGTGCGCATTAGTGCCTTGCGCTGAACAGAGTTTCACCAAAATCGCAAAGACCCAATTCAAGAAATTCAGCGGTTTCCAAATTTAGGTCATAATTTATGCGAAAATGATAAGCAAACTTTACACGGATTATATATAATAAACTATGAGATTTATCTCTTTATTTTGGGCATCGTTATAACAGATGGGTCCTTGCAAGTCAGCAAAACGCTTCAGGGCCTTGTAAATGCGCGCGGTTTCGAGCAAAGTAAACATATAGAAATTATAGTTTTCGCTATTTGTTGACGTTTGTCAGCGTTTGAGAGTCCTTCTCACGAAAAAAAGGATTTTCTTAAAAATTCTTAGTTTTTTTCCTTCAAATTTTTTCAGGGCCACAATTGATTAACTAACTACCCGGACTCTGAATTTCATGGTCATTGAAAAACTGTGACATTTTCTTCTATAAGCCCAAACTTGAGTAAACATTGAAGATTTTTAGCGTTTTGGCTGAGTTTGTGCTTTGGGAGTTGTCTATTGTTTCTAGCCTGTCATGATACAGCATTCTTGTTCAGCACGCGTGCAATGACCGCGCTTGGCTGACTTCCGAATGCTCACCGAGATATTATAATTTTGGTACAGTGAGACAGGCCATCGCGTGATACATAGAGGTTTAACTAACAATTTTTAATCAATTCTCGTGCTTCTTGTGTCTTTGCAAAAAAATCAAGAAGTGCTACACACTAAGTCTACTTACTATTACAAAAATATCATTTTTTCATAGGTTTAATGCAAGCCAATAATTAAACCAACTCGTGACGGGAATATCTCAATTTCAATTTCTCGAATTGGGTCTTTGCGATTTTGGTGAAACTCTGTTCAGCGCAAGGCACTAATACGCACTACGTGTAGCTGAGAGATTTTCACAAAAAAATGCCGGCAACAGCCGATTTTCGACTCAGACCTCAAAGGGGCGTGGCATTATAACCACGTGACATTTACTCCGATCGCCAAAAATTTCATGTTATATTGTAGATTGATCTATATGTTATCCATTCTATGTGTTAGACTTACGATAAAAGTAAAGGTGGGGATACCAGAGAGCTTCAAAGTAGGATGGTACCCCCCCAAAAAAACTGGGTCGAGTCAGCTTAAGCAATTTTTCATTTCCACACCAACCAGTGATAGTACTAGCTAGAAGATACTATTGACTAATGAACAACTTTTCTTCTTTTCCTTTTGTTAAACACGAATTGACATGTCTAAAATGGCTAATGTTGGCGTAAATTATATGTTATCTTTCAGAGAGTAAATAGTACTCCCACCTTTTGGAACTGGACAAAAGAGAAACTGGTGCCGGGTGTGTACTTCTCAGAATGGTACAATGGAAAGAAAGTCGAGCTGCAGGAAGGCTTCATAAGCAGTGGGTATCCATTTCTGGTGGGAATGCCTAGACTTCGCCAGATAAGAATAAAAGCAGGTAACTCTTTTTAGACCCTTATTCTTCCTTTTAGATTATATAACCACGAAAAACTGATGCTTAGACGTTTAAGGAATGCCTATAAAATAGAGATCTCACGGCCCCGAGGTCGAAAGCGAAAGTATGTCGACCTTCAGTCCAAAAAATCTTGATTTCAAGACACGTCTGACGCTACATTTTCTGTACTTCAGAGCTCAGAAATCTTTGGCACGAATTGTAATGGCAATTTAAATGAAATTCGAGCGGCTATCTTTAAAAATCTGTGCAAAATGACTTCTAGCTCACCGAAACAAGAATCAAAATTTAGTTCTCTATTTTTTTTTTTTTTACAGGAAAGCTATTGTGTAGTTAAAATATAACTATAACTGAATAAAGTACTTTTTTCCAGATTCTTGTGTAGTTAAAGACCTCTTTATCGCGAAACGATGTTTACCATACTACAGTTCCAAGTCAGAAGAAAGAAGTCCATACAATCATCGTGACTGGACACCTGTTACCAATATAAGTGCATTTGAAACTTCATTTGTATCGGAGGATTTGTGTCCCAGGCCATGGAGGTACCAAACTTCAGAGACCTTAGGGAACCTCTTTTTCAACGGCTTTTATGGCATGTACGGCGGTGGCGGTTACATTGCTGATTTGGGCTATAATCGAGATACAGCATTAGGGGTCATTGAAGATTTAGAAAACAATGATTGGATAGATAATAGGACTTCTGCTGTCTTTGTTGAGTTCACGGTCTATGAACCTTCAAGCACACTCTTCAGCGTTGCAAAATACCTCTACGAGAGGTACCCAACGGGAGGGGTCAAAACGACGTCCACAATTGACACCCTAATGATTTACTACCCTGTAGACCCCAGCATTAGGTCTTTTTACTTGGTATGTCAACTTATTTTGGTCATTTTTGTTTTCGGTTTATTCATTGTGGAGATAGCTAAGCTTTATCTTCAAGGATGCGGATATTTTACTCGCTTCTGGAACATTGTGGATATAGTGCAAATTACAGTTGCGGTGGCTGCAATGATACAATACTTCTTCAAAGCGAAGTTTACGAGCAATTTCGTGCGACGAGTTAGGGAAAACCCGTTCGTTACTTCAAGTTCCGATTATATTGTTCGTTGGTGTCAACTCGAGATCTGGCTTCTTTCATTTGCAGTATTTCTCGTGACGATAAAGATGCTGCGATTGATCAAATTTAATCATCATATTTGTCATTTAACACACACAATAAAATCTGCAGCACAACACCTTGCGTCTTACTCGGTTGTGTTCTCAGCCACCCTTCTCGCCTACACGCTGCTCGGAACACTGCTTTTCGGAAGCAGTGCAGGTCCCTATTCTACTATGGCTCAGTCTCTAACAATGCTCCTTGAAAGGCTTTTGGGCAATAACATGTACACTAAGGAACTAAAGGAAAAGAATGACGTCACAGGCCAGTTATTTACATTTGCATACTCATTCTCCATTGCTATGATATTAATAAACATGTTTTTGACCATCCTCAACGCCTCCTATACTGAAGTGAGACTCCTTAAGCAAGGTCGTTATCCTGATGCTGAACTGGCCAGCTTCGCATGTCGCTATTTCAGGAAAAAAGTGGAAACATACTGGCGAGATGCTAAAAAATCTTTTAAAAACAGGAATCAGCCTAAGTCACATCTGCGAAGGAGAAAGTCAAAGTACTTTAAAGAAGGCACCTCAGACGTTTTGGGTTATTCTGATAAGTACCTCTTTACGGAATATACTGTATACAAAAAAGCATACTCTTGTCTTTTGGAAAAAGAACCCGTCCGGGACTACAAATACCTCTCTCGGGAGAAAATTCAATGTGTTGACGATTTTGATGATATTGATATCGATACGGTGGACGAATTTTCTTCTCTTCGAGACATAAAAAAAGCCTTATTACAAATAGGAACATCACTGTTTATTTATCATCATGAATGGAGCTCCAGCAGTCTGTATGATGACAGTGACAGAGAAGAAAGAAATTCCCTGAAAAGCGGGTGGAGCCAGGGCTCCAATCAGAGTTTGTTCGATGTGGGAATTTTTGAGGATTGCGAACAGTCTGCCATCGTGGAAGTTTAAGCAATTTGTAGTTTTGTTAAATTAGACACAAGCCGTCATCTTTAGTTCCTTAAGTACCTTTTCAGATTTTTAAAGCAAGAGATGGTGACTTTGATTTCTCTACAATCTGGCAAAGAGAGCCAGAAAGTATTATTGTTATGTCTTTGTCTTTGTCTCGAAAAGGAAAAAAAGAAATGTTCTTGATTACTCAAGCCAGGCTAGCCGAGGTGAATTTTATCCCGATATTACATGAAGTAAGACAGCCCAGAGCCGCCATATTTCCATAGCGATTAAAAGCAGTGCGCATAAGCAGTCTGGTTACCCACTCACTTGATGCTGACGGTAAGCCGGGATAGCCCGGCGAGCGTGATCTCGGCAAAGCAAGCCAGGAATATGAATGATGATGATTACAATAAAATAATCAGTTATTGAGAGGACCAGCACTTGCTCGCCTCTACTCAGCTTTAATATAGTTTTTCTGGAATAGTAAGATTCATAGCTTTAGCGTGCGAATAGAGCCGGCTATTTTCCGTTCCCGCCGCTGAGGGCGACTGTAAGACATGCTTTTCTTCTCTTTTCATTCGATTTGGGTGTCCCCGTCAATACCGTATTCTGTTTTTTTTTTAAAGCTGTCATGTTTGGCTCCTATCAACTTTAAATTCTCATCCCAAAAAGATGGAGCAAAGGCCGTGAAAAGTGTTTACGAAGATTTTTTGACATCATGTCATTAACAGGAAATACATTCTGGACCAGAAAAAGTTCGAATATTTCAGGGACAAGATTTCGCCTTGTGAAATGTTTAATATACTTACCTGTTAAAGGTTCCTTAACCTAGTTGATCAAAGCGAATAGCACAGCGCTAAAAAGACGTCAGAGCGACTAATTTGCAATTTTTGTCTGACTTTTGCCATTTCTGTCGTTTTGATGACAAAGTCAGACAAACATGACATATTAATGACAAAAGGCAAAGAAAAGTGACGAATTTCGCTGAAGGTACCCTTACCAAACCATATGTATTTTGAAACTGATTTTAAAGTGTTTAAAATGTATTTTCAGTATTTGAATACTATTTTCCTGTATTTTAATCCTATTTGACAAAAAAATTTAAATTTTCGCCCCTGTTTGGAATATATCTTAAGTGTAGTTAAATTATATTTCATCAAAAGGAAAACCTCTCTCATCAATTTACAATGTATTTTGTTTAATAAATATGATTAAAATAGGGTATTTCAAATGTATTTTGGGCATAGAACCACTAACACTGTTACAAACAGAGTTCAAATAGACTATTTGAAATATGTTTTAAGGGCTTAAATGCGACTGTTTTTTAAATACTTTTAAATAGGGTGCTTTAACACTGTTTTGAGTTGTATCTACAATGTATTTTGAGGCGCATCCACTCACAAAGTTACAAACATAATTCAAATAGACTATTTAAAATATGTTTTGAGAGCCTAAATGCTGACCGTATCTTAAATACTTTTAAATAGGGTACTTTAACACTGTTTTGAGTTGTATCGAAAATGTATTTTGAGACGCACCACTCACAAAGTTACAAACAGAGTTCAAATAGACTATTTGAAATATGTTTTAAGTCCTTAACTACTGACCGCATTTCAAATACTTTTAAATAGGGTACTTAAACACTGTTTTGAGGTCTATTTGAATTGTATTTTGGGCACACAACACTCTGACTATAAAAACAGATTGTACATAAAATATTTAAAGTGTGCTGAAAGACATCAAATGATGACCTTATTTTAAATACTTTAAAATAGGGTACTTATTACTTATTATTATTGAGGTGCAATATTGTAATGTATTTTGGGATACTTATACTCAGACTATAAAAGTAACAATTGCACAAAGTTAATTTTTAAGCCTTCATCGTGTCACGAACTCATAAATGACTCAAAACAAGCTGTCATATTGTGGACCGGATTCTTCTCTCAATAAAGCTCGAGGCGGAGCCAAAAATTAAATCTCCCAGCAAATCAAAAAGAAATTGAAAAAAGAGAAGAAAATTAGGAATAGATTTTAGCTTTGACTGACAACACGTAACTGTGACAGTGTGCCGATAAAGGATCAATCCGTTCCTCAATGTTCATTACCTGCAAGCTCTCTGCGAAAATCTCCGCCTAGATTTTAGCCGTGATTCAATTAATGCAGCTACGGGACATTCCATAAGTTTTTTTAAAAGAAAATTCTTAAAATCACATTTTAATTTTCATGTAGAAATTTTTCGCAAACAGCCGAAGCCGCGGGCCGAGAACCGGATGCACGCGGTCAATAGAGATTTGTCTAAAATAAGTCCTTGAAATTTCATAATAATTAAAACAAACTATCCAAGCTAAGATCTCACCTCGTATATATTGCACTAAGAAACAACGCTCAGATCTGAATAAACTCCGACATATGGTTATCTTTCTCTCATAGACTATTCCGCACATGCATGGCATATTATTTTTGAGATGTCACGCGCGACTGAAATCACGACCTCGCGCCGCGGTGATGTGACAAATGCACGTGATAAGCAAACCGTCCTTTGTCCTTTGCTCATTTCAAATTATTGAACCGGCGGTTGCTCCCGGGCGGTTGCTGTGAGCTTAAATGCGCTTGATTTTACTGTTTGTTACGATCTTACAAAAGTACACTCCAACTCTGCGGATTGTCGGAACACGTAGATGTTGCTTTTATCACGAATCAAAAATGGTTATGACTCCTCAGCGACTGTTATGTACTTTGAAAGGTTCTGGTTCAGGAGAAGAGTCCAACAGTCTAATTGTAAGTATTAAATATACAATGTTACTAAGACGCTTAGATATACGCCATATGAGAAACAAATGAAGGGTAGTAAACATTTATATAGTCGCGCCCGTACGGCAATTTTACTTTTTACAGGATTCCTTGCAGAGACTCGCTGTTTTGTATAAATGATCTCAGTCACTTGATGTCACGTCACCGGCCTCTTTCATTCTCGCGTAAATTTATTCGTATGCTGTTCTTTATCAGCCACTAATTAATGTTCAGGCGTAGCCTGCATTAAGCTTCTGATGATATTTGAGTAAAGCCGTGAATATAATAAACAATGTAAGTTACATGCATGTAGATTAATATTTACAGATATTTACCGGTAACGTCAGTAACGTTATACCCTTTTGAAGCCAAAGGTTGATAGCCTGTGTACATACCCCCCCCACCCCTCCCCTCCGAGTTTTATTGAGGGAAGGGGTCTGTACACAGGCTAAAGATTGATTTGAGCATTTCTGAAAAATTCCATAAGAATTTCCCGAGAATTCTTAGGGAAATCAACGTAAAGTAATCGGCTAAGAGATAATTCTCTTGAAGTCCTAGCCTAGGACTGTGTGGAGAAATTTCGCCGAGGTAAATCTTGCTTTTTCAGGGTAATTTTCGACGGTTTTGTATTCATTTTATTTCATGAATTTAAATGGTATTTCCATCCTGTTTTTGTACTATTTTTATGCTCTTTCGACCGATTTTTATACTGTTTTCAGACAACTCTAAGGCTATGTTCTTACAATTTTATACTGTTTTTGCATTTTTGCATCCTATTTTTGATGTATTTAATTCATAATATATGTGTGCTATTGCTTTTTTCTTCTTCTGTGGTATTTTAATACTGTTTTCAAAGTATTTTTATTGTATTTGCAAATACGAGTATTTTACTAAATTTCGAAACCGATTAAACAGCTATTAAAATATATTTTGAAGCATAACATTTTAATAGCGTTTTAAACAGGTTAAAACACCTTTAAAATCAGTCGAAAAATATATCAAAAATATATTTTTGTACCTATTTTAAACCTGTTTTTTTCAAAATACGTTTAAAATTGCCATTAAAAATAGTTTTAAAATAGTATAGTAAATTAAAATATGTTTTTGAAACTGTTTTTATCCTGTTTTTATTCCGATTTATAAGGTATTTAAAAACTGTTTTTGACCTGTTTTGAGCCTTGCAAAAGCCCTGGAATTTTTTATATATTTTAAAAGCATTTTAAAATACTTTAAAAATTCTTTTTTAATAGCGTTTTAAACAGGTTAAAACACCTTTAAAAGCAGTCGAAAAATACATTAAAAATACACTTTTTACGCTATTTAAAACCTATTTCACAAAACAGGTTAAAAACAGTTTTCAAAAATAGCTTAAAAATACATTCAAAACAGTGTTGGATTTGGTAAGGGTAATTTCAATTTGTTTGTCTGAATTTCAGTTCTATAAATAGTGGCCGCGGTCAGATCTAGGCTACTAAGCTATTTCGGTAATGTGACCGTTTCTCTGTTCGCTCCAACTATAGTTAGACTAGAAGTTCTCATTGAGAAGGGAAGTGCTGCCGTTAGTTGCGATGCGAATAAGACAAAGACAGTTTGCAGAACAGTTGAACATATGAATTCTTTTTTATTAAAGTCAATAACTTAGACTTGCTGGCATTATGAAACACTCAGAGCGTAATATGAAAAATGAACCGATCACGATGACAAATATGCTTACATTCATATAACTCGCTAAGGTTTCAATACCATTTTGTAATTCATTTTAATAATTCACGAAATTCTAAAACAACAGCAGTGCTGATAGGCTGTTTCTTCATCGAACAATCATCGTACACAGGATGAGATGAGTTGCGAACAAACAACGTAAAGGCCAAAAACTTGTTTATTCACAGGTCAGGTAGATGTACAGCACATGCCGTTCACTTACCTAACTTACAATTCTGATTCCCGAGATAACAATCTGTGTGACAAACGAATACTCGCTATAACTAATCTTGAAACCTAGAATAAAGAAAATAAACCGAAAAATGTTCCGTACAATACTTCTTGAACTGTTCTTACCATTTAGGCCGTTTAAAAAGACAGCAAACATCCGATAAACTACGATTTCTGCACAGATCTTACATGAGAACAAAACAAAATGGCGGGTTGCTCCTAAGAGAAAAACAGGCGCGGCAGCTAAGCACTTGCTTAAG